AGCTTGTATTTTAAGATGCTTTCGCCGAAAGTGTATCATTTTGTGAGTAGCCTACCACACTTTTTGGCCTGATCCTTTTGGAGAAAATTGTGAGGTCATAAAGTTGTGAAGCGGATTGTGTGGGAGTTAATTTTCATCCTGTGATTGGAGAGGAGAGCTTTCTCTGTATAAAGCTCATTCTAGAAAGTAAGGACTGAAACCATGATTTTCCCAGCTTCAAATAATCAGCTTAAAGAGCACACTTTCTCTCTCTTTAGCAGAAAAATAACAATGAATGATTTGAATTAATTCTCTGGAGGTTTCAACTTTTTTTTTTTCACTGCTTAAAGCATGGCAGGCACTAAAAGAAGACAAAAGATGTTGTGAGCAATCATGTAGTAAATATGCTGATTATAGTCAGGGCTGTCTTATTTACAGTTGCACGTTGTCATCTAACAACTTTACAGTAATCAGTTTTTGGTCTTTGGTCTTTTCTGAGATAAGGCTGAGGTGAAATGAGATGGATTATAGAATGATTAAATCATTAAATTTTTTTGTCTCTTTTCTTTTTTTTTTTTAAATTGAAGTATAGTCAGTTACAATGTGTCAATTTCTGGTGTACAGAATAATGTCCCTGAGAATGATTAAATCTTAATCCAGAAAAGAATAATGTTGAGTTATAAGGGAAGCCACGTCTCAGTGGTGACATCAATGACACTTTCTCTCATTTTTAAAGGTCAAGCTCTGTAAATTAGATTTGTTTATAAGACTGTGAACTCAACCATTGTTATAGTAGCTGGGATTTGAATGATAAGAGTTAAATGCAGAGGATTTTTATTATATTTCAAAGTAAATTACTCAGGTTCCATAATAACAATTTAAAAAGTAAATATTCCTCCTTTTACTTTTTATAAGAAATTATTAAAAGAGAAAGAAGATTTAGCATTTATTATAATTATGTACAAGGCTTGAAAGCATCTGTAGTCATTACTTTTAGTTTAAATTGAACACCAAAGTGTGAGTCAACTCTACTGAACGACTCAGATCCTTTTTGTACCCTTAATACAAAAAGATCATTAACATCAAAAAGAAATGCACTACACAGATAATCTTAGAATTATCAAAGTGATTATTAGGTTGCTACTTAAAATAATTTTTTTCCAGTAGTAGCACAGTACTAATAATTATTATCATGATTAAATTAATTTTAAGGTGATAAAATGTGAATAATCCATTTCTTGGTTCTAAAAGCAAATGAGGTTTAAGCCCTACCTTCTTGTTTGGCAAATTAACAGAAAAATTTTCTATGTAAACAGTTTATCAATATCAAGAAAAAAAGTGAGTCTTTCTAATTCTGAATTTCTGCTTCCTAAATAAGAATCAGAGAAAGAAAAAAATACCTAACCTATTTGCCTCTGGCTGGTATAGTACAATATCTTATAGGACATCCTCTAAAGTTGTTTTTGTTATTTCTTCAATTGCCACCATTTTCATGAAGACTACTCCATTTGTTAATGGATTCTCTGAAAATCAAGTCAAAGGACTCTGTTCATAATCTTATTTGCTTTTGTTGCCCTTATCAGGATTTCCTTCAGTTTATTTGGATTTTTGTGAGATGAACCATTCATGGTTCATGAGAAGAAGAAATTATGCCTCTTTCCCCCTATCCAGCTTCCCTTTTACACACAGCCTGAAACTGCATGTCTTCCCCCATCCCCTCAATGCCACTTTATAATCTGAGTTCATATCTTTTCTGTTTTTCCTTGTTAATCAGGTCTCTGCTAGCTCTCTAACACTCCAGGCCTCTCCCATCTATTACATTTCAGTATTTCTGGTTGTTCTTAAGAGATAGGTTGTCTTCATTCTCTTCATTCTCTTTCTCTCTGTCTTGACCTCTATCTCTCTTTCATTGTCATTCTCAGGATACTTTCCAGCTTCTTTAGCACATTTCTGTTGCTATGCTGTCCTCACAGTTCCGAGCAATATTTCCTACCAGTGCAGTAGGATTCCTGTATCAGGCTTGCACAAACAGCCTAAGAGGAAAGGTGCCCACCTGGCCAGTCCCATTAAAGTTGGGATCTATATGGCATGTGGCCAGCCTGGTCCCAACAACCAGTCGTTGAACTAAGCATTGTTTGTAGTTTATTTGTATCTTTAACTGTTCTTTGTACAAGGAGATAAATCAACTGCAAGAAGGCTTGCTATCAGAAACAGATTTCCTATAGTAACGAAGGAATGATAGTCAAAATTCAGAATGGAATCCACCGTCCTGTAGGGTCCCTGCCCTTCCAGGTGTTAACACTTTGGCATCTGGGGGAGTTGAAGGGAGGAGGGGGAGTCTGAGTGAGGAATAAGGGTGTTCAGGTGGTCGGGGAGAGCGTAAGAGGAGCATGGGCCAGAGACTTTTTTCCAACCAGTATTGCAGCATTTCAATAAACAGTGGCTGAATTTTGCATATTAGATCTATGTCAGCCACCTTTCAGGTGATAAGTTTGTCCTCACCCAGGTTTTGTCTTCTTGTCCTCCTGAGACCAAACATACATGTACTAGACAGACAGGCGGTCTGTGGCCATGCTATAGAACCATTCTAACTAAGAGTATGTGGCGTGAAACCCTGACCTCAGCTCTAAGTTTTCAGTTTTATGTACCAACTATGTTAATTTGGAATTTCTTTTCTGGGAGTAGTATTTTGACTTCGTATTGAGTACTTTATTTAAATACAGAACAAATCTTTGCTGTTGCCTATATCTGATATTCCAGACTGGGTGCAAATGTCTCTTCTTCCTTGTAGCGTTCCCTAATTCTCCCAGGCAAAACCAGTCAGACTCTTTTCTGTGCCTAAAGCCCTTGATATATACCTTAACTCTAGTCCACCTAACTTGTGCTGCAATTATTTGTTTATATTTCAGATTGGCCCATAAGGACTTTGACCTATTAATCTTTTTCTCCCCATCAACAAGATTATGTGTGGCACATAGTAAATGTCTAAGAAACAACTATTGACTTAATTAATTAATATGCCCACTGAAAAATAAAGTACATGTTCACAAGTTTGGAAAGGAATTAGGTAATATTATTTTTAGTGGTGGACATGATGGTAACATTTGGTCTGTCTTGGAACTTTTTGTATTTTTGATTAAGCAAATATTGGGTGTATTCACAGGAAAAGATGTCTATAATATATTTTTAACCAAATAAAGAGCAAATTAAGAAACAGCAATTAAATTATGTCTCATTATTATAAAAAAATTCCAACATCATTATGGAAAAAATTCTAGAAGAATAATAGTGAGTGTAATAATAATATTTATATCTTTTCTTTATGATAAATGATTACAAAGTCCAGGTATGAAATTGAGTGCCCTCATACATTATTTTAATCCTTATGACTCCATTAATTCATTCATCATTAATTCAGCATTCAACTTAGGTTTATTTGTCCCAAGCATTGCAGACATAACAGCAGTGAACCAAACAGACACCATACCCGGTGTTTTATCAGTATCCTCAGTCTACAGATGAAAATTAAAGAGGTTGCCCCACCCATAAAAGGTCCTCTGGTTCAACTTCTGGATGAAATAAACATACAGACACACAAGACTCCCACAGGGGCCATCTGCCACCATCTACTCAGGTGGAGGTAGTACAGGAACCACAGTTGCCAGCAGGGCAGTGTCAGGCCTTCCTGTCTGTGGGAGTCCTTGCAGCAGGTTACACAGTCCTCCAGCAGCCATCATCTGAGCCTTTCTGACACATGTCACCCTGAAATAAAAGCCTCATGCCCCATGTGACAACTGCATGGAACTCCATGGGCAGAGTGTCCGGGTCCCCATAAGAATCACTACCACCGTCATGTCTTTATTGTTCGTTACAGTTTCTCTCAGTCCAAAGGTAGTTTACCAATCAGGTCATTTCAATCTTTAGCCTAGAAACAGAGTTAACACTTTTATCATATTACCAGGGGAAAAAAAGTAGAGAGAGAACCAAAGGTCAAGTTTTCATTGAGGTCGTCTCACAGAAAAGGAGGAAAGGGTTTTGTTAGGTGGATATCCGGTAAGAGTGGATTTGAACTTACATCTGTCTGACTCTGAAGTCTAGCTTCTGCCCTTTACTAGATGGTAACAAAAATGATTTCTGGGGAAAAGATTTTAGACAACTTTCACTTTCTTCCTCATACTTTCCGAATTCACAAGTTTTTATTGTAATCAGCATAAATTTCTTTTGTAATCAGAAAGGAATGTTTTCATTAAAAAGACCAGCAACCTGCAAATCTACTTTTGCTTTAGCATCAAGTGAAAGTAGCCGGAAAAAAAAAAAAAAGAAAAGAAAAAAGGAAAGTAGCCAGAAACAAAAATGATATATGCGTTTGCTTTGTGATTATGATGATGTAAAGGGAGGAGCACAGAGGAAGAAGCCAAGCAAAAATACAAAGCCGTCCTAACAACAGCCGAGTCAGGACGGTTGGCTTGTGAAAGGCTTTTTTTTTTTTTCCTGTTTCCCAGATTTTCTGTGAAATGCTTATGTTTTCTTGGAATAAAAAGAAATACATTTATTAAAATAGAAAAGGGAATATGTATAGCTGATAAAAATATTTGAAGTATAAAAACCAGGCAAACATCATCCTAAGGTAACGGATTTAGTTCTGCATTTCACGTTAGAGGTTTGGAGTTCTCACATTATTTCAAAACTCGCACATGAACACGGCAGATGGGAAGGTGGAGTGGAGAGCAGCTCTGCTCCACTCCTGGAAGTCGTCAGGGGCTAGAGGAATTTGCCCTGGGCTCCCGTCTCCGCCCTGCCCTGACAGGAGCTCCACGTTCAGGGCCCTGCAGTAGCTCTCCCCAGCCTGGGCTCGCGCGGGA